ACGATAGATAGGCAACATGTGAAAAGAAAAAATAGACATGAAAAAAACATTGCTTTATATACCTTAACACTTAATAAAAAAATTTGATATTTTGTGTATGAAAACATTGTAATGTTTACTGATAATCTGCCAGATGTTGTTAACATTCACATACTAATTTAAAAGTTATAGCATGAAAACTATAACAAGCACAAAATGGTTACGAGGTCACTCCCAGGGACTGAACCCATGCTGAAAGAGTTAAATAGTTGCTCAGATTTTTGTAAGTTATTTGGTAGTAAGTGTTGTAATTTCTGTTACATTCATCCTTATATTGTGATTTATTTTGTAAGTTTTGAATACAATCAAGTTTTTCTCTTTGCACTGTTTTTTGTATTCAACATTCTTAGATCAACGATACTCAACTATGAATCTGTATTTTTACATTTTAACGATTTTGAACTTTTAAAATAACTTCATATTTTTTCAGGAATGGCTTGCAAAGGATGTCCAGTTTCTTCAGCTCAACACGATGGATATCTTCCAAACACCTTCTCAGGAGAAACTCAAGCAAGGAGTGTCTTTCATTAAAGGTTTTGAAAACACTGGAAATAGTGTGTATGTTCATTGTAAGGCTGGTAGAACTCGTAGTGCGACGTTGGTTGGTTGCTATCTGATGGAGGTAAGAAAATTATTTAATGCCCACAAGTTATCAAAATTTTTATGTAACTCTGACAAAAACGTTTTCTGTAATTTAATGTATTTCAGTTACACAGTTTCATCTGATTTTTTAGCCATAAGTCTCACTTAAAGTAATTGAAAATTTGGAAAATGCCTCTTTTCAATTTTAACTTACACTTTTGCTATAAAATTTACTGTATGACTGGAGTATTCTTGTGTGTGTTTAATTTGTTATACTAAGAATGATTAAGTATGTACAATTCTTTGTTTCTTTGACCATTATTGTAAAAGTTTTGATACATAATTATTTTTTATCACAAAGTCAGGTTTATTTGTATTTTGCTATGCCATTCATCGATTTTTGTTTATTTTTAAAGAAACATGGATGGAATGCCGAACAAGCAGTGGAATTTATTCGTACAAGACGTCACCATATTCTGTTGGGAAAAGTACAGTGGAAAGCATTACAATTATATCATTGGAAACACGTACAAAAATAACTCGTTTGTATCTAGATGTGTGGATTATTCCTCACCTCTGTGTTGAAACAGTTTTTGTGCAATATTAATATGTACAAATATAAGTGTTGATACTTATTTATAACCACCAGCTGCTTTTAACCAAAAGTAAGGTTCATCAGTATTTGAGTGTTCAGTAACCATGTAAGTTCAATTATTTAATTTTATTATTTACTATGAAATGGCTCAGGAATCAAAAACCAAAAAATTTTTACTTGTGCATGTATAGAAATATGAAGAGCAGTAAGTATTTTGAAAATTAAGTCTGGGAGAAGGGGAGAGAGGGGGGGTGATCCTTATTAACCAGTCAAACATCTTTTGAAATGTCTTAAGTCAAATATGGTTAAAGTTAGTGGATGGAAAGCTATCTAATATGGTTATAGTTAGTGGATGGAGAGATATCTAATATGGTTAAAGTTAGTGGATTGAAAGCTATCTAATATGGTTATAGTTAATGGATGCAAAGCTATCTAATATGGTTAAAGTTAGTGCATGGAAAGCTATATAATATGGTTAAAGTTAGTGGATGGAGAGATATCTAATATGGTTAAAGTTAGTGGATGGAAAGCTGTCTAATATGGTTAAAGTTAGTGGATGGAAAGCTATCTAATATGGTTAAAGTTAGTGGATGGAGAGATATCTAATATGGTTAAAGTTAGTGGATTGAAAGCTATCTAATATGGATAAAGTTAGTGGATTGAAAGCTATCTAATATGGTTAAAGTTAGTGGATGGAAAGCTATCTAATGTGGTTAAAGTTAGTGGGTTGAAAGCTATATAATATGGTTAAAGTTAGTGGATTGAAAGCTATATAATATGGTTAAAGTTAGTGGATTGAAAGCTATCTAATATGGTTAAAGTTAGTGGATGGAAAGCTATCTAATATGGATAAGTTATAAAGCTCATTAATATCTTTTGATATATTATCTATTCTTGTAAACAGTACTTTTAATTAATAAAAAATAAACTTCTATTTCTATACTATTTATCTGTGTCATTCATCCATACGTATGGAATATATTTCAATCTTAAATCCCTAAATGCTATCTTAAAATCAAAGCTTGGAATAAGTCTGAATTTGTGTTTGTTTTCTATATACACAACAAGGACAAAAAATCACAGAAGAGAAAATATCAGTACAAACTACAACGTGTGAATGCTGAACTGGACATTTGTAGGATAATTGATAGGTACGACGTATATACAGTAAGACTGTGACGTGTGAATGCTGAACTGGACGTGTACATTTGTAGGATATTTGATAGGTACGACGTATATACAGTAAGACTGGTGGTTGAATATTCATCTCCTACACATTCATCTAATTCTACTCATTAATTAGCAAGTAGTCCTGACACACAGTACAATTATTCTGTCAGACTTGGGTGATTGTATGGGCTACTGACCAAGACACTGGTACAGTATCACATTTACCCTATTTGTAAGTCTTGTGTATGGCATGAAAACAAAATGTGGATACCCAAGCCCATGATATTCTACAACCAAAATCTTTTGTTCACAGTTTACACTCGGTTGTGGGAAGGTAGTTAATTTTAATTGAATGGATTACAAAAATAAAGCAAATTACTGGGGTGATAAGTAAATCTTAAAGTTAGTATAATGGATCCATAACGGTCACTCATGTACGTAAGTAAATCTTAAAGTTAGTATAATGGATCCATAATGGTCACTCATGTACGTAAGTAAATCTTAAGTTAGTATAATGGATCCATAATGGTCACTCATGTACGTAAGTAAATCTTAAAGTTAGTATAATGGATCCATAATGGTCACTCGTGTACGTAAGTAAATCTTAAAGTTGGTATAATGGATCCATAATGGTCGCTCATGTACGTAAGTAAATCTTAAAGTTGGTATAATGGATCCATAATGGTCACTCATGTACGTAAGTAAATCTTAAAGTTAGTATAATGGTCACTCATGTACGAGTGTGGCTAACGTACGGATCTGAGGCTCTCATCCTGTTACCACTGCTCTGGATGAGTTATAAGAATGAAATACTAAAAGCCTTTGAAGAATTTAGTGTTGACAAGCTGATGTAACTGCATAATAACATAAACGACACATGACACATCCCAGAAGGCTTAGGGTAATCAGTTTTTTATCACCTTCACAAAGAAGACAAAAGCAATAGATTACCCTGATAAGCCACATTACTAAGTTATTATTTAGGATCATATTGAAAAGAAGAAGCACCCTAATAAGCCATGTGACCGATTTATTATTTAGGATCATATTGGAAAGAACAACTACCCTGATAAGCCACATGGCTGAGTTATTATTTAGAATCATATTGGAAAGAACAACTACCCTGATAAGCCACGTGGCTGAGTTATTATTTAGGATCATATTGAAAAGAAGAAGCACCCCGATAAGCCACGTGGCTGAGTTATTATTTAGAATCATACTGAAAAGAAGAAGCACCCCGATAAGCCACGTGGCTGAGTTATTATTTAGAATCATACTGAAAAGAAGCACCCCGATAAGCCACGTGGCTGAGTTATTATTTAGAATCATATTGAAAAGAAGAAGCACTCCGACAAGCCACATGACCGAGTTATTATTTAGAATCATATTGAAAAGAAGAAGCACCCCGATAAGCCACATGACCGAGTTATTATTTAGGATCATATTGGAAAGAATCAAATACAAAGTAGACAAAGAGGTTTGTGAGGAACAACTAAGTAGACAAAGAGGTTTGTGAGGAACAACTAAATAGACAAAGAGGTTTGTGAGGAACAACTTGAATTCAGACCAAACAGTGGAATGAGAGAAGAAATATTCAGCATGAAAATAATATCAGAAAAAACGTACATTGAATTCCAGAAAAATATTTATGTCTGTTTTATACAAAGTTTACCATTTAAAGCTAATAGAAGTCTTGAAGCCTTCGGTTTGAATGGCAAGGACATTAATTATTATCAACCTGTACTGTGAACAACTAGCACCTGACTGTGAGCAATAGTAACTCACTGAGACATGGATGTGTGATCTCTAACAGAGACTTAGAAAGAATCAAAAGACTAACCATAGGGGGCCATAAAAATAAGTTAAGATGTTCAAATGACACAGTGTTATTGTGCTGATAAGTAAGGATTGAATGTTTAAAAAATAGACAGTGGTTGTCAGCAAGAAAAAACAAAAAACCCGAAGCTGAAATAATAACAAATGGAGAGGAACTAGGACAAGTTAAAACTTTTATTTATCTTGGACAGTTAATCACAGAAGATAGAACATGTGTAGAAGAGATAAGAACAATAGCTGTCTATAAAAATAAATCAGCAAAGAATGAGACGAATGGAATGCTACATACAAACAACGCTATATGATGTAGACTTGGATAATTAATAAAAGTATAGAGAAAAAGCTGGAAGAATATCATTGACAGGCAGAAAAACAAACGTAGAGATTTTAAATAACTCTTAGACACCATAAAGCAAAAGAAAATGGATATACTTAGAACATGTCAAAAAAGAACAAGATAAAGAAATTTATGCTAGAAGGAAAGTGAACAAAAGAGATGATGAAGGAAACGGGAGGATAATATCAAACGGTGGATGAGTCTTAAGATCTCAGTACGCAGGAAGGACTCGAGACAGACAGTGTCGGTGGTCCATTGTAATCAATCTCTGTAGCAGTGACGACACAAAGTGAATGAATTATAAGAGTGACAGTCAAGTCCCACTCTATTCAGTTTGACAAGAGCAGTCCAAAGGTGGTGTTGACTAACTGCCTTCCCTCTAGTCTTATCACTTCAATGGTTAGGATGGCTAATACAGATAGCCTATATAGAATTCAACTACATAGCATCGATAACGAACCTAGTTTATTTTACATTCATTTAGTAGTACTACATAGCATTGATAACTAACCTAGTTTATTTTATATTCATTTAGTAGTACGATAACTAACCTAGTTTATTTTACATTCATTTAGTAGTACTACATAGCATTAATGCTATGTAGTACTACTAAATGAATATAAATTGAAATTGTATTCAGAATTTCAGATGAAATTCTTTGGTTTGTTTTCGGCTTTGTTATGTAGATGTTTTAAAATAGCATGAAAGTTAAGGAGATATGCGTACTTATTTTTTTATCCTTAGAAGTAGGAATTAGTTTTATATTTATGTGCAAGCGGTATCTACAGAATTCTTGTTTAGTTTGGTGGCTTATAGTAGTGCGTATGTTCAGTTGTTTTTATATCTTTGCATACTTCCAAATGATGGACAAATATGGATATCAAGTTTCTAGTTTTGACCCTTTGAAATTTGTAAGTCACTTTTTGCAAAACCAAAATTAAGTAAGTAATGTTGTTTTGATGAACTTTTCCAAAAGTCAGAAAATAAATTAGTTTTTTAATATTTGACTTGTTCAGTAGTTTCATTACAACCCCATGTAGAGTAGCATAACTTAATTTCTTCATAAGCAGAGTCCGTTTTATAAAAGAGTTACTAGTATTGTAGGGCGCTGCCGTATTTAAATAATTCGGACCAATTATATATGACTACAGCAGTGACGGCCCATAGTCTAGTATAGTACAATGGATTGTTTAACTGAATGTGTTGATGTGATAGTGCTGTGCTGTTGATATGTTCAAGCTTTACGTTTTCAGTACAGTCAAATCATTTCACTATTAAAACCGAATCTGTTTCAAGGTAATGCCAGTTTAACACGATGTTCTAGTGTAACCTTGTGTACTGTTAAAAAACATAGACAGTTAGGGAAGAAGGAAACTGTGTTTTAGCTTAAATGACAGGTTGAAATACCTTCATTTTCACAAGGTAAAATTTTATTATAATAGATTTTGTGCTGCATACACTGTTACATATTTAGATTTAGAATGAACTGATTATATATATACATACAGGGATTTGTCAAAAATAAATAAATGTTCCAGTGATGGTGGTAAGAAATGGTTTAATCTACTGGTTCTTTAGGCCTTGTTTTCTGTTATATTATCTACATCCATCTTCTTCCTGTGTTTAAATCCAACAACTACCTTTGGAGATCATTGTGATGGTACAACAGGACACAGACTTATTCAGTCATGGGTGGAATGAGTTAAGGAAGTTTAATGTTTCCGTAGTCACATAGTTTGCAATGTACGAATCCAAGCAAATATGTGACCTTTCAGAAACCTTCAGTGACAAAATAGTGACCTTGTCCTCAATGATGTCATCCTTGAAATATTCCAAGCAAATATGTGACCTTTCAGAAACCTTCAGTGACAAAATAGTGACCTTGTCCTCAATGATGTCATCCTTGAAATATTCCAAGCAAATATGTGACCTTTCAGAAACCTTCAGTGACAAAATAGTGACCTTGTCCTGAAAGATGTCATCCTTGAAATATTGGACAGGAGAATTCCACTCTCACTTGGAGCATGCTTGACCTGTAGTGATCATTGATGTCATCCTTGAAATATGGAAAAGAAAGTTGTGATTAGGCCCTCATTGAAGTCATCCTTAATGTTGAACAAATGAAAATTGCCACTGTTACAGTTGTAATTAGGTCCTTATTGAAGTCATCCTTGAAATGTTGAACAAATGAAAATTGCCACTGTTGTGATTAGGCCGTCGTTGAAGTCATCCTTAATGTTGAACAGATGAAAATTGCCACTGTCACAGTTGTGATTAGGCCCTAATTGAAGTCATTCTTGAGATGTTGAACAGATGAAAATTGCCACTGTCACAGTTGTGATTAGGCCCTCATTGAAGTCATCCTTGAAATGTTGAACAGATGAAAATTGCCACTGTCACAGTT